AATAATAATAATAATAATAATAATAATAATAATAATAATAATACATCCGGATAATAATACATAATAATGATCTGTTTCTGATTGTTCTGGGTGTCTAACAGCTTTTAATGCCAAAGCAGCAGAACAAAGGAATCTGGACAAAGAAAAAGCAGAGATGTGAAAATGCAAAACAGGTTTAAGATGCATTAACTGAAGGCTCGTCTAAAATGTTCCTTCCTGGACAGAAGCAGAGTGAAGCTCCCATTCGGTCTGACTACTGGTTCTGGTTCGGGCCCGTTTGTTTCTTCAGAACTGTTCTGATCAGTCTCTCATCTAAACGTGTTTGTCCACAGCACAAAATGTATTTGTTCTAGAATAAAACCTGTAAAACTGAGAGATACCTTTATTTTGTTCACCTCTTCCTGTGTACTGGCCTGCCGCCGGGTCATGTGACCTGTGAGCTTGTTTTGTTTTGAAAACAGAAAGTGTTGGAGTTTGAAATTAGTTTTATACTTTCTGTTTCTTTTCTGTCACTTTTTGTTTTTGCTCCAAAACTTCTTAACTCAGTTGCTGAATACAGACCTTCAAATAAATATTCTGCCACAATATTGTTTTAAAAAATGATTAACAGACAGGATATTTTCTGCTGAGCTGCTGCTAATCATTAATAAAAAAAAAAACATTTTTGTTTGAAAAGCCTGGTTTCAAACTTTTTTGTAAAAATAATTTTAACACTTTGGTGCATTTTCTTGTCTTTTGCTGTTATTTATGCTACAAAAACGTCCTGGTTGGATCAGGTTTATTACGGAAATATAATAAATTATAATAAATAGTACATTTTTATGTGATTAAGGGTACCATGATACAACACACAGGTATACGTCTATCACTACCTGGTTAGCTTTTGGTAAAGATCCTGTTTTGAGGTTAAAAACACACAAACTCTGGTTGTCTGTAAACCTCTCAGACTTCTACTGCCTGTTTTGTATAAATAATACATTTTGTTGTGTGAACCGAGCTGCGTGACGCTAAGCTGCAGGTTGCTGCCTGACGTGGACGCTGCCGGTGAACTGAGACGTCCTGGCTGCAGGAGTTCAGAGTGAACGAGTGAACACGCAGCGGTTCATCCACACTCACACGCTCCTCGCTGCACAGCGCCACCGGAAGGTTAACCGTGAGGTGTGATGTCTGTATGGTGGAGGTGGGGCAGTGTTAAGGTAGAGGGGAGGAGGGGGGGTTATTGGATGGCAGGGCTGTTATTGGAGGAGGGGTGTGGTTGCCGTGGTGACGGCCGGCGTACCTGGCTCCACGTCGTGCCAGCTGCTGGCCTGGCTGCCACTGCCCGGAGAGCGGCCCTGGCTGGGGTAGTAGGACTCCTCCCCCGGACTGTCCACGTCCTCCTCCATGCACTTTATCCTCTTTGCAGAGCTGCACACACAACACAGCACCGTTATTACCCCCTCGTGGTTCCCCTCACCATGAAGAAGGAGAGAGGACTCAGAAAGTCCTGGACAAGTCCTGGACAAGTCCTGGACAAGTCCTTTCTGCGCATCAGGAGCAGAGTGTCAACTCAGACAGCGGAGGTCAAAGTCAGCAGCAGTTTGTAAGATCCTGGAAGTGTTGCAGACCTCAGAGGCAACATTAAACACAGTTTAATGGGGCGCTGAAGCACCGAGATGAATCACATTTTATTAAGAGAAAGCTCTCAATAAAGTCTCTGAGAGTGCAGTTTACACAAGCAGGTGGAGCCGCAGGGATTAACGTCAGTGTGACCTGTAGGAAGGACCAGGACCCTCCAGAAACCACTCCATCAAACACTAACACAGCACAGTACTGTCGGGAAATCACTGACTTTTGATGCTTTTTTTTAATTAAATTAATACTTTTTCTGTGATTTTACGAGTTTATTTGTAATTTAACCAAACAGGTGAAATGTAGAAAATAACAATTATTAAAACATTACAGTTAAAATGTTTGTTCCTTTTGATGGTGCAGAAAACTGTAGAAAGCACATTACTTCAGTCGATGTACTTAGTTACTCTACACCCCTGACACACACAAACATGACTACGTGTGTGTGTTTGTGTGTGTCTGTGTGTGTGTGTGACCTGGGATGTGAACGTATGAATGAAGCCTCTTTGACATGAGTAAAGACTTAAATATTTCCATATGGATCCGTTTCACTGCCTCGCAGCGCTCTGTGTGTGTGTGTCTGTGTGTGTGTGTGCCTCTGTGTGTGTGTGTGTGTGTGTGTGCCTGTGTGTTCGTGCGTTTGTGTGTGTGTGTGTGTGTGTGTGTGGGAGGTCTCTGGAGAGTGTGTGTGTGGAGTCAGAGTGTGAGAAGACAGAGGACACACACACTCTCTGGGTGTGTGTGCTGCAGGGCAGGTATCTCAGCAGACAGACAGACGACTCTTGCGACCGCATCGATTTACCAGAAGAGGTCAGGGCAACCGCTGCGAGCGCCGCAGCGTGCACGGCTTCCTGCGTCTGCACGGACTGTAGAACGGAAACCAGCATCCCGAGGACCGTCCTGGTTTGTGAGGACAGTGTGTTATGTGTGTCTGTGTGTTTGTGTGTTTGTGTACGTACCTGGAGGAGGAGGTGCTGGGCAGTGGTCTCCTCATGGCTCCTGGACTCATACTGTAGTAGGAGGAGCTGTCCAAGTCGGCCAGAGAGAAGTTTGGACCGGTACCGGCCGCGATGGGAGCTGAGGGACAGACAGATGGACAGACAGTCAGACAGATGTGTTCTCTGCTTTAACTGGTGAATGCCTGCAGGTAAAATCAGTGTTTTTTTTCATGGACTCTGGTACCATCGGAAGCTGCTGTAAGATGAATGTTAGAAATAAAAATAAAACCGTCCTGAGATGAACTCAAACTCCCAGAATTCTGACACCTGATCAGTGATGTGACTTCAGGGTGTTCAGGGCAGCTGGATGTGTGGAACTGTTCCAGGGTTTTATAATTAAAACTCGTTAGTGGTCTCAGTTTAGGCTGAGGAGACACTGGCTGATGAACTTTGGTCATGTTTTGCTGCATTTGATTGCAAGAATGTCTAAAATGTCCGGTTTAAATTAGTCAGAGATGCTCTTGTTGTGTGTTTTAAAGCTGAGTAATGACGAGTCCGCAGCCTGATGACTCCAGTTGAAGCTCTGCAGGAACTAAATCTGCTGCAGGTGTGAACCGTCATGAGGGAACTACACAACTTTGCTGCACGTTTTGTGTGAAACCAGATCGTGAAATGGAGTTGTGATGCTCTTGTGAATCAGTGACGGCTACTCAGGCCATCATCTCTCTTTCAAACGACCACAAAAGAAATTATAATAAAACTTATACTATAAATGATCATAAAAATATAACAATAAAAAGCCAGGGTGTAACGTTCAAGGTTATAAAACGGTGAAAATGATGGAAAATATCTGTAAAATAATTACATTAGTGGTTGATTAAATACGACACAGCAAAAACAGGCTACACTACAGTCACATGTCAGAATTTTTCTGTTCCTACTTTTTATTAAATACAGATTTTTTTTTGCACTGACATTATTTAGTTAAAATTTTTTTTTAAAATATATGTAGTTTATCATGCAAATTACCGCAAAATAAATTATAATAAAACTGTAAAATAAAATAAAATAAAATAAAATCTGGCAGCCAGGGTGACAGAAACAGCTGAATAGTGAAATGTTCAGCAGGATGAAGTGGTGAAAGTAACAGCAAACATCTGTCAAATCAGTTTGATGGTTTAAATACAATGTGGACATTATCTCCAGTTTTATTTATTTATTTTTTTACAGTCAACATCTTCAGTGGTTTTACAGATATTATCTGTAATTTAACTTTATGAATGTGGTTTCTAACTGACCCTACCAGCAGTAAACTGTTATAAGAGCCGGCGGCCTGAGAGGGAGTGAGCGCTCTGCCTGCTCCTATCTGTGCAGCAGACAGAGCCGGTGATGGATAGATGGAGGGAAGCTCACGGTGCTGAGCTCAGCATTAAACTACAGCAGCTCCTCCTCCTCCTCCTCCTTTCATCCCATCACACCATCATGCTCTCTGTCAATAAAGCGATGTAGAGGAGGGATGAAGGAGGGGGAGGCTGCAGGCGAGGGGATAGACGGATGTCCGGGTTTGAAGCTGATTGCTGCCTTTGTTCAGCAGGATTTTCAAATTGAAGCATTTGACAACAAAGAGGCCGATCCCTCTCTCTCTCTGCCTCCCATTCGTCTCCTGGCTCGCTCGCCCATCTCACTGAAAGCCCTCTCAGGCCTTTGTGGAGGAGCTGCTCCCCAGAGAGGAGGACCAGGGAGGGAGAGAAGAGGAGACGGACTGAGATGGACGGATCAGAGAGGAGAGCTGCTTTAAGGATGCTAACGTCACTGCTAACTGCTCTCATACATTAGACAGTAAACATCACCCGCTAATGTTCAACATGGAAACACCAACGAGGAGCCTCTAAACTCTGACATCATTTAGTTCACAAAACTGTAAAAACCTGGAACCAACATGTTCCTACAGGTGTTACCAGCAATTCCTGTAGCTACTGAACTCTTCACACTCTTACAGCCTCAACAGGAGGTTTCACTTTGAGATCTTTAAAAAGAAAACGTGTCTTTTAACCCGTCGGCGGGTTTGGAAGACAAGTTGTCATTTAAAAAAAAATCACCAACATGATTCCATTTATCAGCCAGAAACTGTGAAAACAGAGGAAAAATCTGCAGATTTTCAACTTTCAGCTGGTCCTTGAACACATCATGTGCTACGTCTGGTTCTGTCTGGAAGATGAACCAACCCTGAGCTTAAAACGCTGATACTGATAAAATCACTACATTCCACTGGAGCCAACATCGTCTCCTCATCCTGCAGATGTTGAACTATCTCCATGTCCCCAGACTTTTCCTCTCTGCTCTGCTCATTAGTTGTAGAAAGATGTTCCACCATCAGCTGAATGTATCTCCAACAACTGGCTCCTCTGTTCACTGGTTCTGAGCCATGCTGCATTTATTTATTGATCCAGTAGGTTGGATTTTCCTCTCAGTCTCTCTGAGGAAACACTGCCTGCAGTTCACCTGGAAACTCTCTGAATGTTTCCTGTTGGTCACAGCTGAGTCAGCGGTGGAGGATCAGAACCAGGAAGAGGAAGGTTCTAGATCCACAGGATCAGAACCAGGAGGAGCAAGGCTCTGGTTCTACAGAATCTGCTGACAGCGGTTTAGTTTTTGCAGACTAAAGTGATTTTTGATGAAATATTGATTTTAAGTTAGAGTTTAGTTACTTCCTGATGCGACTCCAGATGAAACTGTCGGGAAGCTGATGATTGTTTCTGTTTCTACGTTTACTGACTGATGAATGCGTCACTGTGTCCATCTTTTCAGAGACAAGACGTCCAGCCTGCTGCTGTTCGGTGATTCAGAGAGTTGGTATCTAACAGGTGGGCTGTCTGCTGATACTGAGGCTGTAGTTGCGTCTGCAGCCTGTCGGGGGCGCTGGCAGCTCTGTACATTTAATCTGTGCTGATTTACATCTTCACTCGTTAGTTCAGTGCCAGTAGAAGAAGCTGCGTTGCCTCCGTATTTGAATTCTGGAGGCTGCTGTGGCGCCGACTGGCCTCCTGCCAACTGGAGCTCCGCTCTCCGGCTGCATAAATGATGTTTTTAGGTCAGTCGCTGCGCTGCTGCTTCTCATCGCGCTCACGCTTCAGCTGCTGCCGCGGAAACGCAACAGTTTCATTACTATTATTATGATTATTATTAAAATTTCCAAACACCTTTGTGCGTTTGTGTTGCGGTGCCCATCTGGTGCTGGCACACAACCAGGTGTGTGTGTGCGTTGCCAGGGGCGACGGAGGGCAGGAGGAAGGAGGGATGGAGGAGTTTGAACCGCGGAGGCCTCCAGGTTTATTCATCTTTTCATCCCTGTGTGTGTCCGTGTGTGTGTGTCTGTGTTTTGTGTGTGTGTGTGTGTGTGTGTGTGTGTGAGAGAGTGTGTGTGTGTGTGTGACAGACGAAGGTACTTGAAGGTGCCAAGTGGGTCATCTGCCTTCTTATCTGTTTGAGTGTGTGTGTGTGTGTGTGTGTGTGT